GGCTGAAAATTTTTGCTTTGCAAACAGAAAAAATTTTTGCCTTTTAATTTTCCAATTGTGTGTCATTAAAATTTACAGATAAAAATTTCAAACAACCAAATTGTTTTTGATTGAGCATGCATGCCTACCGTATATTTTTACCCAGTGAAACTGACGATAGCCGATTTAATTCGCGCGAAAAGCACATGCTCATGCACAGACTCAGTTCAGCCATATAATAACCCGATTATTGACCTCGCTTGTTCGGTCTGTACTGTGAAATATCAGACCTGTATTTTTTGCATGGACCTCGCTCCTTTGTCGCTCGGTCCATACGAAAAAACCTTGATCTGACCTCACACTCGGTCAATAAGCCGTTAATATTTCATTAGACAATATTTATTACATGTAATATCGACGAAAGAAAATGTCCGTCTGCATATTTCATTGCGAAGACAGATATTACATGATATTAACGTTGACTTGGGTAAAAGTAACGTTGACATTAAGCAAACGTAACGTTGAGTTGAGGTATATACCCACGTTTCAGGAGTAAAATTTACTCCCGAACCTGTGGAGCAAAAAATACTCTACTGAAAATTATCCCCCCAAACAGGGTAGTTTTTGGGACAAATTTTTTACCCGTTGAAATTTACTGTGTATATGAAGGGGACGTTTACTGCTACCAAAGAACGTAAAAATTCGGTGCGCGGCGTGTGTGATAGCAAATGGCAGCATAATTGTTATGCTGCTAAACAGCTGCCTGGCCTTGGGCTTGGAAAAATGAACCATTGTACAGGTTCAGTATAATTATATTATTGAATGTTGTTTGAAAGACTATAGAATGGTCGGTTGTCTATATAGCACAGTCAGAGCATAGAAATAATAGACATAGAATGCGTGCTGATGACGAATCATGTCTCCACTTTTTCACCGTGCGTGCCCTTTTGAATGCGCCATTTTGAATTTTGTCTATTATTTCTACGAGTCAGAGGCCTGGTTCAATTAAATCCGAACTGAAACGAGGCACTCTCTGGAACATCCTGTTGTCGTAGAGTAAAATTCAAAACTATTATTACATCGGAGCTAAAACGACCATTGTGACAACTGTTTTAATTGTTCATGTTGTCATACAAAAGCAGTTATAAACAGGTTTGCAAGCTTGCAGATGCGTTCAATGCTTGATGAGTGAACGATTGTAGATTGACAAGGCGTTTGGTGGACCAAAAAGCCGTATCAGTTTTCATATTCTTCAAGATCGTGGACGAGGTAACTGTTTTATTTCGTTCTTCAGTGACTAAAATATTTGTTATGTTGAAATGCTTTGTTGATTAAGGTTACATTATATAATGAAAACACTGATTTCATCATTTTTACATTTTTATTGATTTAATTTATGAGAGTCTGGGGAGATCTTTCGCTCGCCGCAAGTGTTTTCGAAAAAATTAAAATGCTCCTGGGATATAACTAAAAATGATACAACCACAAATTGTTTTGCCGCGAAAGTTGTAATTGTAGTAAATCACAATGTGTAGATAAGCCGTGATACTCCATACCGGAAGTGTGTAAATACTGTGTTGCAGCTCGTCCTTTTGATGTCTTTGAAAAACTCACGAGTGCATGTTATATCCAAATTGCACTCGAAACCATGGGCGTTGTGAAAACCCGAAATATCACGGAATATGCCGGAATATCACGGAATATGCCGGATTATCACGGAACATGGCGGAATATCACGGAATATCACGTCATTTTCCCGGAATATTCCAGAACCAGATCACGATATTTTCCGATGGTAGCCATGCGACTGTTTATAAACATGGACGTCTGACAACATATATATTTTATTACAAAAGTGATGGATCTTTCCCATTTTGACGGTAAGTAACAAACAATATCTCTATACTGGAATAACTCTATATCATTATTACGAGTGTAAAATTTTGAATTAATATGATTAATTCCTCCTGACTTACAGCGTCTTGAAAATAAAAATGCTGACGTCAGCATTATTTTTGAACGCCTTCAGAACTGTGTTATACACAAAATTTAGTAAAAAATTATCGGTTAAGTTTAAGACGGGACTTCTTTCCTGATATAAACAAGAATTCCTTATTAAACATCTTGGCTCAAACTTGCTTTTAGTTAGCATTAAATTTTTGGATAAGTGCTTGGCATAATATAAAATTGACAATTTTATATCACCAAGCATTATCCAAAAATCAAATGCAAGAGCCAAGATGTTTAATAAACGCAAGTTTGTGCCTAAGAAGTCCCATCTTAAACTTAACCAAGCATTTTTAACTAAATTTTGTGTTTGAACACAGTTCTTGAAGGCGGTCGAAAATAATGCTGACGTCAGCATTTTTATTATCAAGACGCTGTAAGTCAGGAGGAATTAATCATATTGATTCGAAATATTTGTTGAACACTCGTAATAATGATATAAACAACATATAAAACTTCCGGGATATAGTTATTATATTGTTTGTTACTTACTGTCAAAATGGGAAAGATCCATCAATTTTGTAAACAGTCGCATGGCTACCATCGGAAAATATCGTGATGTTCCGGTATATTCCGGGAAAATATCGTGATATTCCGTGATATTCCACCATATTCCGTGATATTCCGGCATATTCCGTTATTTTCCGCCATATTCCAGGTTTTCACAGCGCCCTCGAGACCATGCTATTACCTATACGAATCACATGCAATGCGCAATTATTATACAATTACCGGTTTCCGTGTACGCAGGAATGTTGCGAGGGTTAAGAAAAGCGAGCGAAATCACGAGCCTAAGGCGAGTGATTTTGCCCGCTTTTCTTAACTCGAGCAACATTCCCAAGTGTTTGGATCATTCCATCCAAACACGGAAACCATAAAGTAATTGTTTTATAAAATAACAACAACACGATAGCCTTCCGTGTTTGGATGGCCTGATCCAAACACGGGTTTCGACCAATCAGAATACGCGTTATGTACATGTTATTTTATAAATTTTATTCGTTTGACCTCTTGTTCGACTCCATACAGGGCGTCGGAGCGGCTGGAAAAGTGGGGGAGCACACTTAGTGGTCGTCGAAGGCGGGTAACGATCTAGGGGTGAGTTCGGGGGATTTTAAAACTAGAGTCCCTGAAATGCCATTTCCTGCCGTTTAGGAGATTTACAGAGTTTTAAAGGTATCAAAATGTCATAAAATATCTCAAATTATTTTGCCACACCCATAACTAAAATAATATCAATTAACTTTGTGGTTTATTATTGACCATTGTTTAAAAGTGAGGGGGAGGGAGGCAAAGACATTTAGGCCTCCCCCCAACTAAAAAAATGCCCCCCCCCCGCTTCCGACGCCCTTGACTCCATATATATTTGATCTAAATTGAGATTATAATCATTGTCAACCATAGTTGACTTTTTAATACAGTCAACTAGTGAAGATTAACTGTGAAGACAAACGAACTTCGCTTATATCAGATATTAAACAAACTTTGATGAAAGTCTTTAAATAATGCCCGTCCGGATTTTCGATTGCAATACCGGTTGTGTTTTGCGATTTTTCCTGCTAAAACAACAAGTTGTTTGAAAATAGCAAGTGCGTTGCTGATTTTTGTGTAGTTCTAGATGAATGTCTTTCGCAGAAGAATATTCCAAAGTACGCGTGTGACACGTGAGAAGTGTTTATTCTCTCAGCTGCGTTATTGACATTCGTTTCATGTTACAAAGGCCGTGTCTTATCAACTATCATCCACGAGTTGCAATTTTCCTGACAAAACGAATAACATTTTTAAGACCTAGTTTGCTTTATATAATTTACTATGGTGTACTAGTGAATGTCTTAGAGAACTACATTCGATTTTGCGACACACATCGAAAAATTATTTTGCCGACAGCTTAAGACAAACCTGATAGCGCACTAAGTGAAGCAGTTTCACTGGTCGTGTAGTTTCTGCTATTTTTCCTGACTTCACATTGCGGACTAAAAATTAAATTATTGTTTTCTCAAATGCGCAATAGTCTGAAGATGGATGCATGTCCTTTACGTTTATTCCGTGAAAAGACACTGAGCAATTCCATATTTTGTACACAACAATTGACCCCGTTTCAGATTCAAATCTGACTAGATGAATCTGAAAATAAATCTGAGAGAGGATTGCATAAAAAATATGTATCCCCGAGGTGGGATATACGGATTAATATTGGATGGGAATTTAACATAACTAAAATGCGATACATATGCAAAATTATTCAAAAATTCTTTTAAATTATACTAAACAAATTTACTTTCTAGTTGTGAAAACATATGAGAAAACGAGATCTTAATTCACAGCAAATTGCAATATATTTCAACAGTTTTTAAATTAATCGAATGGCGAGTTGAGAATCAATCAAGTTTGAATCAAATAAGCCGCATAGTTGAGGCGCGCGTCACATTTCGGGAAGACCCTCATTCCTCCTCTAGTATCGATACCAAAATCTCGGTATATAGCGGAAATGAGTACTTATATAAATTGCAAGTTTCGGTTGCTTTCGATACCGATCTCAGTCTGTAAGCGGGAAAACATTTTTCGTTACTGAGCAAGCCAAAAGCAATAAATATTTTCTATAAATGACTTGGCGCACCACAATTTCAATATTAACAGTTCATTTTTTGGTTTGTGAAGGCTAATTTACACTCCGGAAAATTATCCGTGGATTGGAACGGACAAGAAAATTTTTCTTTGTGTTAATGTCATTAGTTCCAACCCAGAGCTCACAAGACAAAGAAAAATTGTCCGTTCCAATCCACGGATAATTTTCCTGAGTGGAAATTAGCCTTGAGTCATGAGTCTCTTATTCAACCATGCAAAAAGTGAAGTTAAAATAAACAAATCGTCTAAGAAAGGGTGCAAGCATAGTGCAAGTATCGAACGATACCACGTCAGTAATCGATACCGATCATATTGAAGTATAAGTTATAAACTATAAGTTTACTTATAGCTCAATGATACCGATATTAATATAATACAGATGTCTCTGGTGTCGCCATCACAATTGTTTTCAAACCAGTTTCGACTGATCACTGTGACAATTTTTTAACGGCTTCTTGATTTGCTGGGATTTCTTGCAGGATGTCTGATGAAAACAACAAAGTAAAGATTGCAGAGTATGGCTCATGGTCAAGTCCTATAACATCTGAAATAGCTGTACAAGATGGTGGTCTGCCGTTTCCGTGTGTCTCTGAAATACACACATCTGAAAACGCAAACAACGAAGGTATAGAGTCGAGATACAGAAAGTGCTATAACCATTCATTTTATAGTTTCTATGTAAACCTGCATTCCGTGTGAACCGGCTGTCAAGTTGAACGCCGGTCCAGGCTATTGCAGTCACCACCTGACTTTCCATTTCGCATTACATTACGATTCAATTTTTCTAAAATAAATATCTCGGCGAGTATTTACCCCCCTTAAACAAAACCCACCATTGTAGCTAATACTCACAAAATAACCTTTCGAACGGGGGGTCAAGTGCCGTCAAAACATTACGCAAACAGAAACAATCATATATTATAGTCACCTCTTCGCCAAACATTCAAAAGAGAAAAAGTTGAATATATTCTAAACTTGTCGTCATTTTCTGAAAGGCTATATGTGTAAAATACTCTTTGTATTCAAGCGCTTTCGTGTAGAAAGTTTCGTATGTATACGGCGACTAGAAATATTTATTTTGAATTTTTAAAGTATCGGGTTTTACTCGCACGCGCTTGTATTACGTAATACTTGGCCAATAAGGGAGCTCCTTTAGCCGGGATGACGTAAAACTCGCGCGTATGGGTACACTTTGACCTGTAGAATCCATTTCTGGCATTTCCAGAGTCACGCGATACAAGCGTAGCATTGTTTTGACGGTTTTTCGTGGTATTTCCGGTTGGGATTAACGCAAATTCGGAGCAGAAATGTAAAATTCGGCACTAAAAGTCACACTTTAAAGTACGGAAGCCCAGAGGCGACAGCATAAAATCACTTTTGTATTTTACATTTTTGTGTTTTATATTTTGTATTTTTGTGTTTTATATTTTGTATTTTATATTTTGTATTTTATATTTTGTATTTTATATTTTTGTGTAATTATAATGTTCTTAGACGTGGGATTAATTTATAGTCATTTAGTAATACAAATTGTGATATTTAACAACAATACATATGTCAAAATATGATTACAAGCTATAGTATAGAGACATTGTATTTTGACTGCGCGAAATGCGTGTTACATACTGAACGCTTGTTTAAAGAGCATTACTGAACGCGCATTACTAAGATACACATACCGAATTCGCCATGCAGACATTAGCATTACTCCCGTAACTGTAAGGCTCAGTTCAGACTGCGACATTTTCAAGCGCTTCATTTCTTACGGCACAACCGCACAAGTTCGGCAACTGATTTAGAGTTTAGACGTCGCTCTTCTAGATCTGTCGTACTTATAAATCGTTGTATTACGGGCGGCGCATGAGAAAGTTTGCCGTCTAAACCGAGTCTAAGGCTGTCTGCATGGCGAATTCGGTATCCGCATCTCAGTTATTGATATGCGCGCGATTAATGCTCTTTATTTAAACAATCGTTTAGTACGTAACACGCATTTCGCGCAGTAAAATACAATGTCTCTATATGACTCTATATTGCTTGTATTCCTTGTAATCATGTTTGTCAAATGCATTGTTGTATAAAAGTAAAAAGCTGGGCTGAAACATAATATAAACTAAGTAAAATTATAAAAGTAAAAAAACATAAAAGTGAAAATATAAAAGTGAAAATATAAAAGTGAAAATATAAAAGTGAAAATATAAAAGTGAAAATATAAAAGTGAAAATATAAAAGTGAAAATATAAAAGTGAAAATATAAAAGTGAAAATATAAAAGTGAAAACATAAAAGTGAAAATATAAAAGTTAAAGTTGGAGATGAGCGTCTAAGCAGGAAGACCACCTGGGGCTGTGGGATGTGATTCAGTATTTCATTGATGTCTGACTTGCAACCGAAAGACACGATATCGTTGGCTGCTGACATGGCCGGAATTCCACTGCGTATCGCAGTAAAACCGAATCCAGCTTTCGGGTATGTAACCGTCTTTATACGCATGGCCTAAAAACTTTCTTACTGCCAAAATAAGTTGTGCCTAAAACTGTGAAAGTGAAAATATAAAAGTTAAAATATAAAAGTTAAAAGTGAAAATATAAAAGTGAAAATATAAAAGTGAAAATATAAAAGTGAAAATATAAAAGTGAAAATATAAAAGTAAAAATATAAAAGTGAAAATATAAAAGTGAAAATATAAAAGTGAAAATATAAAAGTGAAAATATAAAAGTGAAAATATAAAAGTAAAGTTAGAAATGAGCGTCTAAGCAGGAAGACCACCTGGGGCTATGGTATGTGAGGCTGTAGATAAAAGGCGGACGACGGACGACGGAGCATTTTATAAACACATGATTACTACCGCAACTAATTATAATACCCTATAAATGAAAGTACACCAGCCTTAGATCTGTGAAATGAATATGTTTTCACCCGTTCGAATTTTTAGCCATGGAATTTAATTTAATCAGCATTCAATATGTATGTATGATAGGAGGCTATTCGCCGTCTTTCGCGTGAAACTTTTGGAAATATTGTAAAAAAGCGCGGCTTAGTTTTGGTGCTTCTGTATATAACTGCCCTAGCACTGCCATTGAATTTAAATATTATTAGGCGGGACTATTACATGACATTCACTTGCTGTCATTTTCATACTTTACATTGTGCTGACCTAGCCTCCTCCGCAGGCATCGCTTTTCGATTATCAGACAAAGCGCTGACCTATAATCCCCGTTTTACTTACTAAAAGGCTAACACGTGCCAAGGTCCATTCATGTGAGTGCTTATACACATTACTATTCCACTGTGTATAAATGTAGAACGAAATTATAACCTTCCCTAAGCCTTTCAAATACATTTAAAATATTCATTAAAAATTCATAAACCTTGTGGCAAATCATGTCAGCCATAATATGTCACGTGAAGTGACTTTATATCTGATAAAACTCATCCTCATTAGTATTCTTTATGGGTATGGCGAAAGGGAGAGTTACCAACCGGAGAGTAATCTCGTAGAAATATGATTTCGGAGAGTTATGTTCGAACCACGCCCACTTTTCCAAACGACCACACCCAACTTCTTAACTCTCCCGACGTTTCCTTGAACTAACATGAGAGAGTTATGTTTGACGTAACTCTCTCTCTCGTTAACATTATGAAGATGTTAGAGAGTTATTATATTTTATAACGTTCACGATTGTGGCAATGAAGAGAGTTATGCCAGTTTTTTGAGAAAACTTTAGTAAAGCTTGTTTCTTCAGATTTTCATCTTATATTTTGGTATTTCAGTTTGTAGCGTGTCAATAGCGTGCGTCCAAACAGAACTGAATAGTACAACTTGACTCGGTCAAAACAATGAAATGCTTGCATCAGAAGGGTCGAAGTACCCCCAGAAGCATGCTTTGACGTGTATTTGGCAGTAAATACGGTAAGCATAGTTGCAAGAAAATTGAAAAAAATAAGAAAATTGCCAATCTTTCAGCAATTCAGGTTTTGGAAACACTTTCTCAGATCAGCCGATAGGGCATTACATGTTTGGAAAGGTTTTCTGGTTCCATCTAATACGAGAGCTGTATCTGAATGCTGGGCTTTGTAGATAATCCAAGTGAGCATGTATAATAATTTATTTACTCGTACTCGCTTCACTCGGTAAATACTAAATTACTACAAGTTTCTACTAGCGTGAATGTTAAAGCTGAAACTTGAGAAAAAAGTAAGTTCACAATAACTTTACTAAACTGTGGAGTTTTTTTCAAAAAACTGACGGACATAACTCTCTTCATTGGCATTGCCACAATCGTGAACGCGGTGAGTTATAAAAAATGGTAACTCTCTAACATCTTCATAATGTTAACGAGAGAGTACGTCAAACATGACTCTCTCATGTTAGTTCATGGAAACGTCGAGAGAGTTAAGAAATTGGGTGTGGTCTTTGGGAAAAGTGGGCGTGGTTTGGACGTTGTTCGAACATAACTTTCCGAAATTATAACTCTCTGAGATAACTCTCCGCTTCATAACTCTCCGTTTAGCCGATAACATTCTTTATATAATTGTTCATCCTAATTAGTATGATTATATAATTGTTCATCCTAATTAGTATTCTTTTGTAGTCGTATTTTAAGCTATTCAGAAAACTCGAACTCGCGTTTTATCATATCTAAAACGCTCGGCTGCGCCTCGCGTTTTAAATACGATAAAACACTCCTTCTCGTTGCGCTTTCCTTACGCTGCTGCTCAACTTACATTGCCCAAGTTGACGTTGCACATATATACATTTTTCAAACAGCTTGTTACACTGATTACTGTGTGACATTTACATATATAGTAGATATTATAATATATCATATTTACATAAATATGTCAGGAAATTACAAATATATACAATTGTAAATATACTACAATAGTGAACATTTGCATATCCAAACTTTATAAAACTTGCTTGCTTTATAAAACTTGCTTTATAGCTTGAACGTAACAGTATACATGTTATTTTTAACTGCTTCATTCATCAAGACTATCAGAATGAGCGTACGTCTCAATGCGACGAAGTTATATTCGACGAAAGGTATGTTTATGTTTATAATTTGTCTGTAAAATATTGCGTAATTTGATCATATACGAGCTCGTTTGACTTTCAAAGCTCATAAATCGATATAATGTTGCCATTCACTAAATCTATCGATAGGGATGAGTAGCTATCGTTACACTGAATCGAATGGTGGTATTTTGGTCCATAAATATTATATATATTATATTTTTGAAAACATAATCGGCCGAAAGAGCGAAGATAAAAACATAAACAAAATAGAAAAATATTGAAAATAACAGAAAAGCAAAGTCTGTGAATTCAGACCTGGTGTATATAATAAAACAGTTATTCCACTCACTCTCGTCGAATATGAGCGATAGCC